AGAGAACCCCCAGCCCCGGCACAGGCGGGGAAGACAGAGGGGCAGGGGGCATGCAGAAGCATTCCGAGCGGGTCTTTCATAGGAGGAAGGGAGAGGGAACTGGGATTGGTATTAAAATAAGATTGTTTTAAATTTAAATAAAAATTAATTTTAAAAAGAATTTAAAAATTCTGTGCTTGGAAAAATAACCACAGAATGTCTTAAAGCCAGTATGAACTGCATGTTAGTGGAAATTCTAGTGGCCACCTGACACCACCACCACCCCCTGCCCCACCCCTGACATAAGCATTTACTTTAATTGAAGGGCCACATACCGTTTGGGATTGCCCATAATGACCAAACTCAGCCAATAGGACACCTGTGGGGTGTCATTATAACATATTTCACAAGGAAATATGTTAGCCACCCAGGTAAAGAACTAAACGTCCCTATGGGGAAGAATCTGAGATTAACAGGGGGCTGGAGGGATGGCTCAGCACCTATGCGCACTTGTTCTTCCAAAAACCTGAGTTTGGTCCTCAGAATCCACACTGGCTGGCTCAGAACCCACTGTAACTCCCAACTCTGGTGATTCTGATACCCTCTTCTAGCTTCTGTGGGGTGCTCACTCATGTGCATATACCCACACAGACACACAGAAATTTAGAAAGAGTAACTGTTAGACTAAAATAGCAGGGGACCCATAGGACCTGGGCTCCTGCCTCAGTCAAGTCTCAGTCAAGAGTGCCTTTTACTACAGATCAAGGTATATATACAGTAGTTCATTTGCTCTGTAATTCCAATACTTGTAATAGTTCAGACAAAAACTCACTGGGCTTCCTACTTCATTTCTGGGAGCACTTTGACAATGCGCCTGCACTTAAACTCTATATAAGCGAGACAACCGTGAACTCTGCTTTACCAATCTTGCCATCAGATAAGCACTCACTTTGCCATTTGCAGTTTAGTGCTTATATTGACACCTGCTGCTCTAGTATCCCAATAAACCCGCTGGATTCATGTTTTAAACTGAGCTGCTGCATCTGCTGCTGTAAGGCCTGGCATGCAGAGACTGGCCATGACTGAGCTCCTCATGTACACTGATGTTCCTGACATTTGTCTCTTGCACTACGAGTGAACAGCACTTTTCTCAACCTGAATATTAAAAAATAGGCTTTACATGGTAAATTATTCCAATTTCTTGAGTCTGTGAATTTCTTCATCAGTATTAATTTCTGATATATCAGACATTCATTCGCAGGTGATCTTTTGACCCAGAATTCAGCCCCAAAATCAAATAAACTGACTTTAAAAGAAATTTTTGTACTTGCCTACATGTATGTATATGTACCACATATATGGAGGTGCATATTGAGGCCAGAAGATGGCATTAGAGCGCCTGTAACTGGAAGCAGTCGTAAGCTGCCACTTGGGGACTGGGAACTGAACCCAGATTCTCTGAAAGAACAGCAAGTACTCTTAGCCACTGAGCCAACTCTCCAGCACACTCACTTGTACCTTTTAAATATATAATCTGCCGCAATTTTTTCCCTATAATCACTAGAAGATAGGTCTGCCCTCTTCTTTCTCTTTTTTTTTTGTTTTTGTTTTTGTTTTGTTTTGTTTTTTGAGACAGGATTTCTCTGTGTAGCTTTGGAGGCTGTCCTGAAACTCGCTCTGTAGAGCAGGCTGACCTCAAACTCACAGAGCTCCACCTACCTCTGCCTCCCGAGCACTGGGATTAAAGGTGTGTGCTACCACCACCCAGCTTAAACCAAAGATTTCCGTCCTAGTTCAGTATGGTCTAGTTTTGTTTCTCCCACTATTATAACACACCAATATTCATATCCATACACATGCAAAACGCATCTCTTTGTATGAATCAGAAAACCCAAGTCTTCAAGACCACATGGATCACAATGTGTATCTAACCTCTGGGGTCTTGGTGAGGCTTGAGTCTGTATAAGCATTTTCTTACCTGGCACTGTCTTTAAGAAATGTCTTTGCAACTTCCTTAGTCCACATGGAATTGACACCTTCTGAGAAGGGGACAAATGCCAATACTGGTAGCAAGGTGTAGGAATAAGGATGTATTTGTTACTTTGGGCTGGGTAGTATGGCCCAGGAATTAACAAACACAATGGACCCAAACAAACAAAAAAGTATACCAATGACTCTGGTGGCACATACCTTTAATCTCAACACTAGGTAGGCAGAAGCAAGTAGATCTCTGTTATATTCAAAGCCAACCTCTTCTACACAGTGAGTCCCAGGCCAGAGGGGAGGAGAAAAAGAAAGAGACAGAGACAGAGACAGAGAGAAACAGAGACAAAGAGACAGAGACAGACAGAATGGGAAGCATTAGAAAGAACAGAGTGGGGACAGGATTTAATCAAAACACATTGTATAAGTGTATGAAATTCTCAAACAATAAATGATAAATGTATTTAAAAGCCCTCAAATTAACTACGAATACCCTTCTGTTCTGTCCAGGGGTAGTGGGTGTCCAGGATGTGATACACAGGTTATTCCAAAAAATGAATAAGACACACAGCAGTTATACTGAGAGTGTATATAGATTTATTGAACTTGAGAATAACAGCATAGAATACATTCCACAGAACAGGAGTGGACTCAAGCGTGTGTCTCAAGAACTCTGTTTGAATCCATAAGTTTTCATTAAAAATTGGCAGTTCACTAAGAGGGAAGACCTGCCAGGTGGTGGTAGCGCATGCCTTTGGTCCCAGCACTCCGGAGACAGAGGCAGGCGGATCTCTGTAAGTTCAAGACCAGCCTAATCTACAAGAGCTAGTTCCGGGACAGCCTCCAAAGACACAGAGAAACCCTGTCTCAAAAAAAAAAGAAAAACAGAAAGAGAGAGAGGGCAGACCTTTCTTCTAGTGATTATAGGGAATGATTCCCTATGTTTGCTTGTTAGAGTTTCTATAACCTCAAGATGGTCCCCAAAGTCCAAGTGCTAGGCTTTCTTGGTTGGGCTCTGGAGTTGTTACTGTAGCTCACAGTCACTTTTCTGACCTTCTTCCTGCTTTACTTCTCCATGAGATATATGAACTCCACAGATTTTTATGGAAGGTTGAAGGGCAGGAGATAGCATCTTTGGTAACTGCTTCCAGGTGGTGGGGTTCTATAGTCCTTATTACCCTGAAGGCTATACTACAAAAGGCTCATCACTATTTTGAGTTCTTAGATGTATTCTTATGAATTAGGATAAGCATTTTCTCACACAGTTCACATGCAGAAGTTTAGTGCTGGTGTAAGTTCTTTCATGCATTTGAAGGAAATAGGGATAAAGGAATTAGATATTGTTGACATTTATAGGGGTTTTCCACAGCATGAACGGACTGATGTCTCTTAAAGGAACTCTGCCTACTGAAGGATCTGCCACACTGTACGCACTGATATGGCTTCTCTCCAGTATGTCTTCTTTCATGTAATCGAAGGTAAGAGTGATGCCTAAAAGCTTTCCCACATTCTTTACATTCATAGGGTTTCTCTCCAGTGTGGCTTCTTTCATGAAACTGAAGATAACTCTGACGTGTAAAGGCTTTGCCACAGTGTTTACATTCATAGGGTTTTTCTCCCGTATGAGTTCTTTCATGCAACCGTATGGAAGAGTGATATCTAAATGCTTTCCCACAGAGTTTACATTCATAGGGCTTTTCACCTGTGTGAGTTCTTTCATGCATTTGAAGTAAAGAGGGGTAAATGAAGGACTTACCACACTGCTTACAGTTATAGAATGTTTCTCCATGCATTATTTTATGTCTATGATAGGAACTCTGAGATTTGAAAACTATATCACACTGTTTACATTCATAGTGTTTTTCTCCAGTATGAACTTTTTCATGTAATCTCAGGTGAGTAAGTCTGCTAAAAGCTGTGCCACAGTGTTTACATTCATAAGGTTTTTCTCCAGTATGAATTCTTTCATGTGACTGAAGGGCATTGAGACATCTAAAGGCCTTACTACACTGTTGACATTTATATGGTCTTTCTTCAATATGAATTTTCTGATGTCTTTGAAGAGAATTGAAAGAACTCAAAGTTTTACCACACTGGTTACATTCATAACATTTTCGTATAGTTGGGCTTCCTCCACACTCCTTGTATTCATAGTTGTGATGTCCATTATAAGTTAGGTGATAGAGTCCATAGGATTTTAGACAAACCTCACACTCAGAAGGTCCATTCACAGTCTGAGTTTCCGTGCATCCTTCAACACTTGTAAGAAAATTAGAGTCCTGTGGCTTCTGTTCAAATTCCTCATGTTCATACTGCGTACATTCAGAGCGAGAGTCGATGTGCCTATTAAAAATGAATGACACGTGAAAATTTCTCCACCCACATTGCTGCTCGTATTGCTCATATGAATAAGGTTGCTCCACCCTGAGCACCTTCTTCATTACCACAGAGTACCTTTAAATGTAACTACTGTGAGAGACGACAAGCACATTAGTGACAGTCGTTTTGCTTATTAGACCATCTTTCTTGGACAGTCTGCTACCCAAAACAGCAAAATGTGTGCCTTCATATGAAAGTTCTGAAAATAAATGGACTGATGGCTCTACAGTATGGTTCCCATAGGCCTAGGATCAAAATAGTAGCATTCGTCAATGCAGGGTCCCAAAATGGTTCTGAAACACTATGCAAAATCGAAAACTTATGAAGGTACACATTTGAGGTAAAAATTTTCTACAGATGAATAATTTTGAAGTTGGGCTCATTTGTTTTATTAGTTTGTTCTTGAATTTTGAGGGCACATTAAAATGTCTTGGAGGGACACCGACTCCCACTTGTGCATGCAAATTACCTTAGATTTATTTCAGGGTCTTCACAATGTTCTCCAACTGTCTGGTCTTCCCATTCATACCCTGAAACATAGCCACAGAAAACGTGACAAGTCATCACAACGCACAATCACAACTACGCCTAATTTCTTCACCACATTCCTCCCTTTCCACAGCCAAACTTCAGCCACCATCAATAACCAGGAACACTTGCTCTCTAATTTATGGAATGAAGGTAAGGCAATGCCCTCACCTATGGCAGTGAAGTTCCTGCAGGTTTCCAGCATCACGTCTCCATAGAGACTCTTCTGGGAAGCATCCAGCAAATCCCACTCTTCCTGGGTGAAGTGCACAGCCACGTCCTCAAAGCTCACCAGATCCTAAAACATCCCACATTTGCAGATGAAAGAGGGGGGAGAAAAACACATGTGTGCACATCTGACAGCGTAACTGTGTGGTTCCCAGGAGTGCTAGTAAAAGCACTGAGCGATGTCCAGAGACGGCAGGCAGATCCCCTCCTCATGGTTGCACTGGGGAGATGCGCTGCCTCCCCAGCCATTCTCCTCCTCCAGCCATCCCCACTTCTCGTCCCAGGCACCCACACCCTATCATCTCATTAACATTAGGCTCAGGAGGCTGTCTGTCCTTGGAATTCATGCTCAGGGTTTAAGCTTCTTCCTACATATTCCTGACATTCAAAGAAATTTCTGAAAACAAAGTTAAGAAAAAAAGAAAAACCATGGAGTTCAGTGAGTACACACAAGTAATAGAATCCCTGCAACAAGTACCTGGGAAATGTTCTGAAGCATATGGCAAACTGTGCCCTACAACAAACAGAAAGAGCAAACTCCATAATCATCTGCACTCTTAAAGCCAAGTATTTAGTGTGTGTGCGTTATTCACATGGCACATCAGCCACTGTGAGTGTGGGAGTCAGTTTGTTCCTGGTACCATGTGTGCCCCAGGAATTGAACTCAGGTCTTAGTGGCAGTTGTGTTGACCTGCTGAGCCATATCACTGGACCAAATGTGTTGGGGAGTATAACTTTAAGATGTGTTACATTCATTTATGCTGTGGAATATTTGTTTAATGATGCAAAGATGTGTTGTATTCTTCTATGTTGTATTTGTTTAACGGTTGAGCCATCTCTCCAGCCTCCCACCTCTTTTCAGTAACAAGACTAAGAACCCCAAGAAGGGACCTGAATTTCCCATGTGCAGCTCTGGCAGAACCCCCCACCAAAATTCCCATCCCATGACTTGCTGGTATGAAGCATGCTGATTTGAGTGATTATTTTTGGCCTTCAGTGATGAAGAAAACAGAAAAAGCATCTTTTGCAGCAATAACATGTCAACTCTAAATAGAGAATGATCAGGGCTGGAAAGATGGCTCAGCATTTAATAGCACTAGCTGCTCTTCCAGAAGACCAGGGTTCAATTCCCAGAACCCACATGGCAGCTCACAGCTGTCTGTAACTCCAGTTCCAGGAGATTTGACACAGATATAAATGCAGGCAAAACACCAATGCACATGAAATTAAAAAAATAAATAACTTTTAAAATTTAAAAATATATACAGGTTAAGGTGGGCAGTGGTGGCTCACGCCTTTAATCCCAGCACTCAGGGAGGCAGAGGCAGGCGGATCTCTGTGTGTTTTAGGCCAGATGGACAACCAGATCCAGGACAGCCAGAATTGCTATACAGAGAAACCCTGTCTCAAAAAGCAAAAACAAAAATGTGTGTGCGTGCGTGCACGCGTGCATGGGTGTGTGTGTGTGTGTGTGTGTGTGTGTGTATGTGTGTGTATACAAATTAAATAGAGAATGATGATTTAAAATAATGTTTACGGTATGTATAAGAAAAACAGGATATAGGTAGCTATCTGAAACAATCAGGGTTCTCTGGAGGATTGAACTAAAAGAACATACAAAAGGAATTTATTAGATTACCTTACCTCATTTACAGCTTACCTGATCTGGCCTGGACAGTCCAACAATGGCCGTCTCCATGATGGAGAGGCTCCATCCAAGAAGACTAGAAGCCTCAGGAGTTTCAATCTGGTGCCAAAGGCCCAGAGCTCGCCTGGACAGCTTATGGTCTTCAGTCCACACCAAAAGGCCCAAGAAGCTGGGTTGCAATGTCAGTGAAGGGTGGTGGCAGTGGCAGCAGCAACGGCAGCAATGGGACAGATGCACTCACCAGCAAGAGAAGGTAGGCAGGAAAGCAACACTGTTTCTTCTTTGAACTTCTCTGTATCAAGGCCACACTCAAAATGCCACTCACTATACAACAGGGTCTTCTCAACTCAGTTAATCCTTCCTGAACTTCCCTGGCAGACCTGCAGAGACAGGCCTCTTAGTTGATTCCAGAGCCATCAAGTCAACTGAAGATCAGCCATCACACAAGCAACCAGCAATACTCAGGACCCGTGCTTCCGCTGAGTATGTTCCCCACACTCCACCCTCACAACCTCCAGTCTGCCTGTCTCCATCCACAGGCTCCTCTCAGACCAGTCACACCTATGACTAAGTGTGTCTCTAGCTCCATCAGCAACAACCTGTAATTTCTTACTTATCACTCTGTTGCCCAAATCCTAGCACACAGCCTGCTGCAAGCTCTGCTGAAGCCCTTGGGTTCTGAAGGGAGGTCCCACATGAGTGGGATTCCTATGACTGAGGCCCAAGATCACTGAAACCACATATGATAAAAGTTTCCAATCTGAGGTTTAGAAATGGTTAGCTCCAGGTTTTTGGCTGTTTTTGTTTTGGAGGTGTTTGGGGGAAGGGGATTTGTTTTGGTTATGGTTTTTCAAGACAGGGTTTCTCTGTGTAGCCCTGGCTGTCCTGGAACTCACTCGGTAGACCAAGCTGCCCTCATCATATTCAGAGGTCAACCTGTCTCTGCCTCCCAAATGCTGGGATTACTGGTGTGCCCAGGGGTTAGCTCTGGTTTTACTGATCTCAGCTTTTCAGCAATACTTTATTACATGCATCATCAGGAATGTGCACCTTTCCAGGAGCCCTCTGAAGGCCAATGACTATGCTCCACCTTTATCTTTATGTTGTTCATGTTCTCACTATACTCTAGTCATATAGCTCAGGGTTTTGTTTTTTTTGTTTTTTATTTTTGGTTTTTCGAGACAGGGTTTCTCTGTGGCTTTGGAGGCTGTCCTGGATCTAGCTCTTGTAGACCAGGCTGATCTGGAACTCACAGAGATCCACCTGCCTCTGCCTCCCGAGTGCTGGGATTAAAGGCGTGCACCACCACTGCCCGGCTTAGCTCAGGGTTTTAAACCAATTAATAAATCAAGAGGTAAAATGACAAGGAGAAAAATTTGATGAAGTGAAATGGGAAAAAAATAATAAGGAAGGTCCAACAGTTAAGACTTCACACCAAGCTGAGCAGGGAGGCAGGCAGGAGAGTCTCTTGAATTCAGCTAGCCTGATCTACAGAGTGAGTTTAATTGAGACCTGTCTTAAAAAACACAAAAACAAATTTACATCAATCTTGAACAATGTGTTCCAGAAAAGCAAACACTTCTGAATTTAAACTATGAGGCCATCATCCTACCACAACATAAATTAGGTGTGTGTATGCACACACACACACACACACACACACACACACACACACACACACACACACCCATTATGTGTATATACCACATTTCCACTACCCATTCATCATTTATAAACATCTAGGCAGTTCTCATTTCCTAGATATTTTGAATAGGAGCAATGATAAACATGGTTGAGCAAGTGTATCTGTAGTAAGTTACAGAGTCCTGTGAGTACGTGCCCAGGAATATTATAGATGGATGTGGTGACTTGAATAAGAATGGCCCTATTGGGCTCATATATTTGAATGCTTTGTCATCAGGGAGCAGCACTGCTTGAGAAGGATGTTTGTCACTGGGATGGACTTTGAGGCTTCAAAAGCCCAAACCAGGCCTAGTGACTCTCTCGTCTAGATCCAGATGTAGAATTCTCAGCTCCTTCTCCAGTACCATGTCTCCCTACATGCCATCAGGCTCCCTGACATGATGATAATGGACTATACCACTCTGAAATTCTAAGCAATTCCCAATTAAATGTTTTCATTTATAAGAGTTGCCATGGTCATGGTGTTGCTTCACAGCAACAGGGCAGCAACTAAGACAATGGATCATATGTAGGTTTTAAAAGAAACTCTTAAATGAATAACCCACAACTCCCTGGATGTGAGGCTTGCTTCAGAAGAGGGAATGCATACTTGGCACTGTAAATCTGGCCAAAATCCCACAGCTGAGATCTTAGACTCTAGGAGTAAATTCACTAACAGTGTTTAGCTAAACTGTCCTGTGGCCAGGTTACTTTCTAAATATTTATGCTCATACCCATAAACAAATGAAATGATATTCCTCCCTTTGCAATGAATGTCAGTGAATATAGGATGCACGGGTGTTCAAAGTGCTGAGAATAAGTGATGATTAAGTACTCAACCCTAAAGTACACATTTTTTTTAATTTTGCTTATGAAACTTTATTTTTATTTAATGTGTGTGCATGTCATGCCTTCATGGTGTTTTGATTTGGCGGATTTGGCGCTCTCTCTCTCTCTCTCTCTCTCTCTCTCTTTCTCTCTCTCTCTCTCTCTCTCTCTCTCTCTCTGTATACATCCATGATGGATCTTTTGTTTGTTTGATCTGTGTGTCTTTTCTCTGTGTAGTCCTGGATGTCCTGGAACTCACTCTGTAGACCAGGCTGGCCTCAAACTCAGAGATCCACCTGCCTCTGCCTCCTGAGTGCTGGGATTAAAGGTGTGCACCCTCACCGCCCAGCTCCTTCATGTATTTCTGTGCAACATGTTTATACAGTACCCAAGGAGGCCAGAAGAGGAACTGAAGTTACAAATGGTTGTGAGCCACCATGCAGGTGCCAGGAATTGAACTCTGGTCCCCTGAAAGAGCAGCCAGGGTTCATAAGTTGAGTCATTTCTCCAGCCCTAAATAGGACATTTATCCCACTACCTCTTAGTGGTCACAGCAGAACAGGGGGTGAAAATGTGAGAGCCAAAGACAGAAGGAAAGGCTGTAAAATGCTAACTTCTGGCCATGGCAGAGCCAATGCTGTCATGACTTCACAAGTGGTTGTGGTCACCTCCAATGGGACTATGCAAAACATCATCTATCACTAGTCAATTATAGATCAGGGAGGGGCATACAGTCCTCTACTCTTCCTTGAATCACTGACCACTGACAGATTCTGGAGGAAGAAGACATTGTCTTGAGTTGTGTACCCACTCAGGTACCCACTAAGTTCCCATGAATAGTTCCAAACTCAACAATGATCCTAGTTTAACAGTGGGTTCCAAGACAAACTTTAAGAATGGAGATATGAGTGAGGGAAAGCAGCACTAGGGGTGTGAGGACAGGAGCTACAGCATGCATTGTGGACATTCATGAAATTGTTAAAGGGAAATTTAAAAAAAAATTATAAAAATCTTAAGGAAAAAAAAAGCATCATGGCTCATACTACTCCAGCACTTTGGAAGCAGCAGGAAGAGAGTTAGGAGTTCAAAGCCATCATAACCTACCCAAGGGCCTACCTAAGCATAATAAAGAAATTAAACCAAATCAAAAACTTATCACAACCAAGTAGAAATTAAGACAGGCATGCAAAATCAATTAAAACTTCAAACTTCAGGTTGTGAATGAAACTCAATGACAGAGCACACAAGGAACAGAGTTCAATTCCCTACACCAACCCCTAAATAACAAAAATCATATGATCAGACTGAAGAGATGGCTCAGGGGTTAAAAGCACTGCCTGCTCTTCCAGAAGATCCAGGTTCAAACTCTCAGCACCATGATGGCTCTGTAACTCCAGTTCCAGGGTATAACACCCTCTTCTGTAGTCAGCCTTTCTTTGTACCAACAATTCCCAAATAATGACACAGAGACTTCTTATTCATTAGAAAAGCTTGGCCTCAGCTTAGGCTTGTTCCTAACCCATTTATATGCATCTTCATTCTGCCACATGGCTGTTATCTCTCCTCCACACTGTACATCTGACCCCCTCTGCATCTCACTGGCTTCATCCCACGCCCCTCAGATTCTCCCCAAGTCCCTCTCTCTCCCCACAAGTTCCACCTATTCTCTCCTGCCTAGCTATTGGCCATTCAGCTCTTTATTAAACCAATCAAAAGGCACCTCAGACAGAGACACACCTTCACAGTGTACAAAAAGATTATTCCACAACATTCCTCTGTCCTCCTCAGGCACCAAGCATGTATATGGTACACAGACATAAATGCAGGCAAATAAATAAAAATATAAAAATAATTTTAAATCATATGATCATACAAATATTTCGACAACAAAGGGGGAAAGGAACTTTTTCAGAAAAAAATAAAAAATAAAATCTCAAAAAACAATAAAAATTCAAGAAACTAATGAGGTACTATAGCAAACATGTAGGATATATAATACCATCCTATTCCCTGGACCTTGGCAATGAGCAATAGGTTGTGAAAATAAAAACACCATACTTCTTGTATACCAGTAAAGATAAAATAAACAGAAAGAAGTACACACAAATGTAACAAAGAACTACAGACATGCTAGGTATGGTGTTGCACACGACACACTTGGAAGGCAGAGGCAGGCAGATTGCTTTGAGTTCAAGGGCAGATTGGTTTACAAAGTTCCAGGGTTCCAGGTCAGACAGGTCACACAAAAAGGGTGGAGGGAAAGTCTGCAGACATTAACTGCAATTTTTTAAAATATATTTATATAGGTTTTGCTTGCTCCACATTCATGTCTGGTGCCCATGAAAGTCAGAAAAGGGATTCAGACCCACTCAGACTGGAGTTACAGATACATGGACGATACCATGTGGTCACTGGGAGTGGAATTCCAGTCCTCTAATGAAAACAAAGGGAGCGCTACTGTAGGACCCTGGATATTCATAAGTAGAATATGTCATAACACTACAAATAAGACCCAGAGACAGAGATTGGGGTTCAAGCTGAAGATCAGGGAAGCAAAGCAGTCAGCCACTAGCTCTCACCTCAGGCTGAATGGGATGATCCACCCACGGGCTCTTAACCAAGTCTCAGACTGTAACCTCTCCCAGAGAAAGAATGCCTCATACTGACTACTTGCTCCTGTCTTTCATACCCCTCTAGCGCTGGGATTAAAGGTGTGTGCTATAATTCTCTTTTAGACTGATTCAATCTTGTGTAGAACTGGGTGGCCTTGGACTCACAGAGATCCGTCCACCTCTTAAGCCTGAGTCCTAGGATTAAAGGTGTGTACCACCACCTCCTGGTTTCTGGCTGCTGGGATTAAAGGTGTGTGTCACCACTGCCTGATCTCTATCGCTTGAGGCTGACTTTGCCTTTCTGAATATACAGTCAAGCTTTAATAAATCATAAATAATATGTCACTACAATCTCATACCTGGCATGTATGTGAAGAAAGGACAGAGAACTCCTGTCCCTGCGGTTTCAAATCAACTAGGTCCAACCTGTTGGCCCAGCCTACTCCACTGCCTGTCCCTCTACCTGTTCTGGACCTCAGCCCACCATTGCCTATTCTCAGAGCCTGGTTCTGCCTTCTATCTAGCAACTAGGACTCTGTAGCATGGCTGACAAAACTGAGTCCTCCCTGATTTCATCCAAGGCTCCCTACCTGTAGCACAGTAGTTTTGAGTTCTGTATCATATCAATCGAGGCTCCACCTGCATTTCTGTCAGCCCACTTCTGCGCCTTTTACTTGTATTCATTTTTTTAAACTACATATATGCATAGCTATACTGTGTTGTGTGATACGAGAATTAACATTAGTAATTAAGACTGAAATAAACCTAATTAGCCTTGTCCCAATTACCAAGGAAGGTGGAATTATCTGACATATTGCTACCTTCAAAACCTTTTGAATTGTTATTCAAAAACATTCTGACACTATGGGAAGATACAAATGTGTTCATCTATATTTCTAGCCCAGCACACTTGAGAAGTCTCAAAAATATGTCAGTTATCAGTTTAAACTAGCTCAACATACTTCCAATAAAAATCACATATATATATATATACATATATATATATATATATATATCTGTCATAACAAGAAACTATAAACTATAAAAGTTGTGTGCAAACGAAGAATAGAGATGGAACATATACAGAAGAACCAACTGCAAAGCTTGCTGACTGTAACACTTC